CACCAGCACGAACAATACCGCCACCGGTATCAACATTACGGCACCACCACGACCCTGCTACCGCACATTTCCCAGACCACCACCACGATGAACACCACTCCTGCTAGCTACCACTACCATCACCATCTCGCCGCCAACACCCAGCTACCAACACGACAACAGAAATATGTAACAGCTATAGGTTAATGCGATGGGCGGCACCATCTCTACACTTTTTTACGTCTCGATGGAAGTCCAGTGGCGCCTCTTCCCACACCACAGCCCCCGTACCCATCATGTCCACACTTTGTTCACCCCCTCCGATTTCTTCTAGACGCTGCTTCGCCATCCACCACCGACGCCCTCACCTCGGACTATGTCACCGCCAACACCCCTTCCCCACACTATCACTGGGCTGACACCTGCCTCTCCTCCACGCCGTCAAGTCCTGGGACATCCTCGACTATCTCCGCCGCTTTCGCGATGCGGGCCTGTTGGCAAGCTCACCAACTCTTGGATGAAGGATCTGTGACGTTACCGACGAAGAGGGGAAAGGCTGCAGATCTGTAAAGTGACGATCTGTGCCGGGCGACTCGCAAATACCCCGGATTCGCCAATGGACTCCTTGCTCCATACATTGGTGGCGGGACCGGTCCATTGGCGAATGGACTGGATAAATGGTGATGAAATTGAGACTTTAAATTAACTCGAGAATGATCTGGGCTCTGCTAGAGCTCATATGGCCCCAATAAGTGGCTGTAGGGGTCGCTGAAGCTGATAGGGACCACAGGATATCACATATCAGGCGTCAATTATTAATACCGAGCTCTTAAGCTCGCTAAAGATCTTGAAGATGCTAATTCTTTTTGTAAATTTGGTCTTTATGGTCGAGAGGTTTCTAATAATTGTAGAGACCGTTCGGGATTGATATAAATCATTATTAGTTGTGAGTAATGAACTGTTTGTCCTACTAAAACCAGGCCATTCGCGAATAGACTGGTCCAGCCACAGATGTATGAGCCTAGAAGCCCATTCGCGAATACCTCAAGCCCATTCGCGAATTTCTCAAGTCCATTCGCGAATCCGTCATATCCGCCAACGGCCCGGAACAGATCTCTTGACCCCACAGGGTCTCAAGTTACCCGTGCATGCGGGACTTCTAAGTTAACTCTTTGCCCGTGCCGGAGGCCACCCTACGCGAGGGGCGAAGTGCAGTTGAGCGTCTCTAGCCGTGCGGGGGAAGCCACCGCCGATTGCGAAGGGAGCAGGTTTGAACGCGGGGACAGCTGATCTGATCACACACCCAATCCTATTACCCTCCGATGCCTCTCTACTGCCCTCGGGTGGGAAAGCGCCCCGTCGCTCTGGGTCGCATAATCTCTCCGAGTCACCACCGCTAATATAAGTAATCCTGGAAGCATGAAAGATCACTCGCATCGGCAGGTAATGAAATTTCACTCGGCGGCCAGGTCGCCCACCAACTCTCCATTGCGCCCGGAATTCGGTGCAGGCGCAGACAGGTACAGGCAAATGCAGGGAGGTGCAGGAGGTGGTGGTGGTGGTGGAGGTCGTGGGTCATGGGTCGGGGGTAGCCGTTTGGATGGGGTAGCCATTTGTATAGGAACACATACAAATTTAAAAAGACGCTTCGTAAATTCATTAGAATTGAATTAAAAATTCTGTAACTCATTTATCATGATCTCGAGATAAGTTCTGAGCTTCTGCCCACAGGTGGAATTTTTGAGTTGTTTGTTCGGGTCGCTAAGAGTGTAGGTACGGAGCCAAGACTGACGGGAGCAATTTACTGGGATGTCTTATCGATAAGCTAGCGCGTGTTCCTGCATGATAAAGTGCGGGGTTGCGGGATCCCTAACCCTGTCGGGATAGAATCGTTGCTAGCGAGGATCACCCTCACCCACTTCCGCCAACGGGTAGCCTACTCTACATGCATCTCTCTCTACAGCTCCCTCTCCCAGGTACGGCGAGACACGATCAAGGCAACATGTTTGGCACCGAGCGATGGTGCTACCCTTACTGAACGCCAACACCCTTTGTTAGATACTGTGCTGTGTTGGGATATATATACATCTATACTAATACTGACGATGTGCTGTGCTAGCGGCTATAGAGATATGCTACACTCATACCTATTCCGCCTTCTATACCCTACCGCTCTGCGCCATCTGTCAATACTCATAAAAACCGATCTCATCACCGTACCCGGTGGGTAGTCTCGGGGGCCCTGTTGTGCACTGACTGTTTGGAAGATACGGGGGCCGGAGAGACACCCCCCCGCCGGTAGACCTTACGGGAGTAAGAGAGCATTGTATGTATCCTAACCCACAATAGTACCACCACCCGTGAAACATGATAGAAAGTCTCCACCTCGTACACATAGGTAGCCCACTCGCAGTTGGCGTTCGTCGCGCCGTTGGTAAGGACGAGGCCATCCACCACCTTAGCGGGGTCGTTAGCATTGTAGATGTGGATGTCACGTCCAAGCGCGCGATCGCTTGGGTGAGTGTTGGTGTTGGCTGTTGTCCTTCGGGTGTGTGGGGGGTTGGGGGGACGACCTCCTAGCTGCGGCCTGTGGGGGAAGCGGGTGCTTGGGTGGTCGATGGCGAGTGCCAAGCTGGTTGCAGGTTAGTGTGTTGGTCCCAAGGGTAAGGGTTTAGAACGGTATGTACCGGAAAGTGATGCAACGTTTAACCTAGAAACGCGGAAAGGCACTCGGAATTTCAGTTTTTAACATAACACAATGCTTAGGCAGGATGGATGTTTTAGCTATACATATGATATATGAGTCTCTAGAATAGAGTCTGCATTTTTTCAGGTCATTGATTTGGGGTTTTTAGCCTGAAAAAGGACAACTTGTGACAAGAGACAGTAATAAAAGAGAAGCAATAGCGATTCATATTAACTCTTACCATAACTATCATCCCTAGCTCCTAATTTACTATAGATTCGCTCCACATTCTGTTAGCTAGTCTGGTTGTTGAGGAATACGGACTATTTGATCGTTGCATCACTTTCCGGCACCCCCGGGTACATCGCGAGGCTTCGCAAAAAAATACCAGAACATATTAAATTCGGTTCACGAAAAAATCCATGATTGGTGGACGTAGTCCATGGCCACTACTGGGCATCATTCCCGATGAGGGACATCTTTGACTCCACAAGGCCGGTAATTGAATTCTAACTCTGCCCCTCGACGTTCAATAGCTCAAGAAAAGGAACTGTGTGTTTCGATTCCTGGATTTATAGAGCACTTTTGTCTCAGTGAGGAAGACCTCCTGTCAATCACCCCCACTTAAACCACCTTTCTGGAATCGCACCTCATCCTGAATTCAATTCTAAAATCTCGTTGCGAAACATCTCTAATGGTTCCACAATTCTTACATACAAAGTTGATATCCGCAGGCGTATCTCTTAGGCTAGCTACAGGTGCCAGGAAACTACTATGGAATCATATAGGGTCCTCCGGACCCCTACGCAACTTTGCTCACAAATGTTCGGAAACTTGCTTGGTCACTTCACTCCCGCGCTCGTTCTTCAATCCCAAGTATTCGTGTGTCTCACCGTGAACGTGATCGTACCGAGAAGTCTGAGTGGCTGGCGGAATGAGACAAAGTGGCTTGAGCAGTAGGTTGGAACGAAAAAAATGGAGCTGGCGCGAGACGTGTCATGACGAGTTCTGTAGCCCGGCGGCGGCGGTGCTGGGGGCCGCCTATGTGGCCCGGCCGAATACTGGTGATTGCCGATTTATTGCAATTAGCTGATTATTAGGCGCTCAATTGGGCCCTGATTCAGGCGTCGGTTGGTTGACGGTTCGGAGTCTAATTTCTCGAAATAGTACGCACGGCACGATTTCATCGTATTAGATAATTCTCATTTGTAATCATATGACTCCGGCGTGAGTCATTGGAATTAGGTATTAGTCATGGCTATGACTCGGGGATTCTGTACTACCTCTCTTTTGTATAAATACTGGGCATTCCCCCATCAGTTAGTTTCATTATCACGATAAATAAACTCTATTCTCCTCATACATTTCTCTATAATTATCCGTCGATTTGGCGCCGGCGGAGGTGCCAGCGGAGGCGCTGATTTAGTACAGGCACTGGTGCTGGTGGTGGCGGAGGCGGCGGAGGCGGCGGTGGGAGGTGGGGCTTGCGCGCGGTTGCGGATTTGTATGGTTGCGGGCGCAACATTAGTGTATGTACCTATATATCTTAATCTTGGTATTGTGACTTTTGAGTCGAGTAATTGGTATTTGTTTAAATTTGTTTCACTGGCTAGAGTAAAGCGCTAAGGTATTTCTCGCTAGTAGGGCGTCGTATCCCTTAAACTGTCGGAATTTTCACTGCTTTTGAGCGCTATCGATCGCCCCAAGCAGGAAATCAGGACTCCCGGAAGAGGTTGATTCAGGTCACAATGCTTCACGGCTAGATCCAGAGAGGTGCTGATGTACCCAGAGCGGCATCAAATCTTGATGTAGTAATACTGTTGCCCACCATGGCTGAACATTCGTACCTTGAAAACAGAGGAAGGGATACAAGAATTGATTGGCTTAAACAAGGCAGTAACTTGCGAAGTTTACGGCACACCTTTGTATTCTGTGCATATATATATATAGCGAACCCATTTCCCGGACTCTTTTACAGCAAATTCGAAACACTAGCTATAGTGCATAAGTGCACGAGAGAGATTCCCCATTATCAGAAACGCCCAAGACACAGTCATGGTGGATTTACTATACACTCAATACGATATTCACCTTATTATGGCAACGTACCAGCTATATACTGTATTATCCCACCGACCAATCTTAACATACAGGAATCCACCGGACGTAACCCTTTGACTCGCGGTTATTTATTTTTGTGACCTCAAGGCTGGAGAGATGCAACCTTGAGGGCCCCCTATATATATATTCGCCTCGTACGCGCTCACTACAAACAGTACACCTTACGACGTGCGGGGCGGTCCAGCTGCTGCGACTCTCCGGGCGATTGCCAGTACTACTGCCGGGCGGGGACAGAAAACGCGTTTCCCGGAGCTCTGGAGAATGCGGGGTTACTGCCGACAGAGAGCGCCTGTGCGGCGGTGATAAAGGAGCGGGCGGTGGGCCGCTTCCTACCACGGCCCTTCGAACCTCGGAGGTTATTGACCGCGGGCACGAAGGGTGGGTGTACAGCCCCGATACTATGTCCCTGTGCGTGAGGCCCATGTGAAGTATGAGCACTGGACCTCCACCCCATATTCTGAGCGGCCATTTGCATGCCCTGCGAGATCAAACCAAACATTTCGCCAACCCGCCGTTGGTTCTGCTCGTCCGCCTGGCGTTGTCTCCGTTTTTGTTCACGCTGCTTCTGACGTTTCCTTCCCTCCTTGCGTTTCCTCTCAACTTTGTCCATCCTAGTGTTGGCGCCCGCCAAGGCGTTCCCTTGATTCTCGAGTACACCTAGCACTTGGTTCATCCTGGTGTTGGCGTCCATCAAGGCATTCCCGTGATCGTCGAGCATACCCCGCAACTGCTCATGGCGCTGTTGAGCGGTCCAGGCCTTCGCCTCGCGTTGACTCTGGAATTGGTCCATCCTGTTGGTGACGTCCGCCCAGCCATTCCTGTTATCGTTGAGCAAACCAACCACTTGGTCATGCCGCCGTTGATTGTTCTGCTCGTGCTCGGCGTGTTGGCCCTCAGCTAGATGCAGCCTGCTCGACAAGCCGGTAACGGATCCGTAAACGTCCGTCAAGGCACTCTCGCGATCCCTATCACGCTCCTCGAGCCGTGATAGCCTTCTGTTGAAATCCGCCATGCTAGGATCAGTCCCAGGTCCTGATTGTTGAGGGGACTGTTCCGTGTGATGGACGGCGGGTTCTGGCGCCTGGTTGGCTGTGCCGCCTATAACTGGGTGAGTCGGTGTCCCCTAACTGGGAGCGTTGAGCTCCAGTGTGAATTCACTACGGGACCTACCGTTGAGTGGGGGATGAAAGGGAATCTGTCGTCTGAGCTCCAGCTGGGTCAGATTGGGATTGTCGGAGGCAGGGTTTCTTCCGGAGGATGTCGTTTGTCCTAGTAGGCGGTTGAAAGCCATGGCTAGATAATCGTCAAAATTTCAGGTCTGTTGATACTTTTTTGTAGTCAGGATAGGTAAATACACAAAGCACAGATATCAGAAACTTAAAACACTCGCGGGTACTCTCTCCCACAGAAGCACAGTGCCAGCGCAGATTTCCCTTGGCGAACCTAGCTACCCGCCTGAATGTAGGGCTCGGCTCGAAAAGTCATGAAGCCTGACCGGCGAAGCTATGATGCAGGAGCAATACGGGTCAAGAAGGCATAGAGGGCGACACTGTCAACCTTGCCCACACAGTCCAGCGGAACCCCCAACTACCTGTACAGAGTCGAGTACTTCAATATCTAGATTCTAGAGCCGATTAAAGCATTGATTCAGTGTACACAGGCTGTTAAAGTCGCCTCAACTGCCAAAAGTCGAAAGATTGACCAGGATTATCTCGGAAACGACCAACTAAAAGGCATCGATCAGGTTCGATCGTTGATGCGTAGCCAATTCCTCGTATTGCCTTGGTCAAACTGCAAGTTTTTCCGAGATATTCTCACCCTCATTGGCCGCAATACCTATCCGCCAGATGAGTGTACTCTAGGCATTGAGGAATTCGTTGCGGCTCAGCTGGGTCGTAGCCAACCAGAGGCTTTATGCAAATTTTGTCATATACCGCGTTATTCGCCAAATGCCTATGACTCTACCATACATGCAAATGCATCTCTTGATGCATCTGTTTTCAAGTACGGTAGTGCGTAAGTATCTAATATGCGTAAATGCATCAAAGAATGAATCAATCGGAAGACGTCCCGTGGGTGTTCTGAAATATTGTATGCACGTATGGCGCGCCCACTCCTAAAGGTGACAAAAATCGGGCGAAAAGTCAAAGGCTTATAACTTTGCCAAAAAAGAGATTTGAAAAATCGGTAAATAAAAAGTGTAGTACTAGTGATGAACTTTAGCTTTTATTTCCAGATTTTTGATATCTACTTTAGTTAAAAAGTTATAAGAGTTTGAAGTTGCGGATTTTTGTATGTAAAAGGCGCCAAGACTGAGCAAAGTGGAACAGTATTATACCCATTTATACCTCCTCAAAAGTGAATCATCCCCGCGCTCCTCAACCCACTTCTAAAAAGCGGCTACCACTCCCTCTCCCTCAAAAGGGCAAACGGAGTTATTCTGGCAAAACCGAACAAAGCCGACTACTCCCTCCCCACCTCCTACAGAATAATCGTCCTCCTCCAAACCTTCTCCAAAATACTCGAGAAGATCGTCACCCTTCGCCTCGCATCTATCGCCAAGGCGGTAGGTCTCATCCAGCCCCACCAATGCGGATCAGTAGCCGGCCTCTCCACAGCCGATGCAGTCACTACCCTCCTCCACGAGACCAAAGCCATGCAACATGCCAAACCAAAAGTCTCCACTGTAACGGGGGCAGCCTATCTATGTATCGCTAGAATCCAATAGAATAGATGCGGCCGTGCAAGATAGAAATCAGGTGCAGATTTATTCAAAGATACTATCGCTAGAACTCAATAATCTTTAAGGGCTCTGCTACCGATAATGATCTTTCCGAAGATGAGGATCAGGTCAGTTTGGGCGGGAATGATCCTGAGTACTTATACTCCAAAGGATTCTATTCTCTGCTCCTACTTCCTTACTAAGTTCCGGTGCTGCCTCCTAGTGGAAGGGAAGCAATACCATCGCTACCCCGCTTCTCTCTAAGCGTCAGCGAGTGCTTCCGATTCCGAAGGCAATCACCCTTAGTCAAAGCCTTTGTAACACCTGCAGCCTTTGTTGCCACACAACTAGGGGCCTGCATGAATGAGCTGCCGCTCAGGTGTAAGCTTAATCATTGCTGTAGAGCTTCCGCTTATTGTAGACTTCCCAGGCATAGTCTCTTCCACTGCTGGCGGACTTCCAATGCTCAGAGGATGTGGAGGATCGCTGAGCACTCAGAGCTTCACTCTGGCTAGCCTTCTAATCATTGGCGAGGCACAGACTCGTCAGTCATTGCTCCCATGAGTAGATCCTCTTCCTAGCGCTCAGAATGTAGTTACTCTGACAGTTGGTAGCTAACCACACTGCCGGTACTTGCATGTCACTGTGCAACTGGCTTCTAACAATAACTCTCAGCATGTAACCGGGCCCTGTGTGTACTCATACACCAGACAGTTGAAATGGCTCCGTTACATCCACCCTCTTCCTCGACATCAAGGGAGGCTTCGATAATGTCGTCAAACATACCCTTGCCTCCACCCTCGCGGCCAAAGCCACCCCCCCCTACATCATTAACTGGGTCCTCTCGTTTCTCTCAGACAGGCACATCACCCTCCTCTACAAAGGCTCTCCAAGAATCCCAACCCCCGTCCAAGTCGGAGTTCCCCAAGGCTCCCCCATATCGCCTCTACTCTTCGTCATATATATGAACATCCTCCACCTCCACGATCCCTCCTCGGGGCTCACCCTTTCTTACGTTGATGATTTCGCAATAACTGTGGGCTCCCCCAGTTACCAACAGAACATCCACATCCTCGAAGAACACTTCAAGGCGATCACGACTATTACGGCCGCCCAGAACACCACCTTCTCAATCCCCAAGACCGAACTCATGCACTGGCGTACCCCCAAAGACAAGGCGCCGATCTGCACACTCCCCATCACTCTCGATAATCAGGCCTTCCACCCAGGACACCAAGTCAGATGGGTTGGCTTCTGGCTATCCCCAAACTTCAACCCTAACACCCACTTCATCCGCCGGCTAGCCTTTGCCCAGGCCAGCTTCGGAATCCTTCAGAGATTCTCCTCCCCCGCCAAAGGCCTCTCCTCATCCAACTGTAGGAAAATTGCCCTTCTAGCCATACGCCCAATGCTCACATACAGGGCATCTGTCCTAACCCCCACCAGCTCCCTCAAGGACATGAATAAATTCTGGAATTCGGTACTAAGATGGGCCACCGGCTGCTTTAGAGCAACCAACCAGCGTGTCCTCTGGGCCGAAGCACACTGCCCCCCACTCATCAACTACATCCACTACCTGAAAACAAAGTACGCTATTCGCATCCTACTCGCCCACCCCCTCAACAACCCTGTGACAGGACGCTGCCACCCCTCTTTCCCCACCCTGACCCCCGACAGGGTTCCCTCCCACACACGCCTCCTCCGCGGCCGCCCTAACTCACCCAAAAAGTGGAACTCAACGGCAACAAAGGGGGTGGCCCACCTCCCCATCGAAGATCTTTGCCACCTCCTCCAACACCCAGTCACAAGAGGAACAGATCACAAGCTCCTCCCAAAGCTAGCAAAACAACAAATGCTAGACAATTGGGCACACGACTTCCCAACACCCACCTACTACTCCTTCCCCCTCACCACAAGCCCCGAGTTCTTCATGGACTTACATAAATTCACGGCTACCCGAATCCACCAAATGAGAGCCCAAAAAAGCTACCTCAGAGGCCACAAATCCTGGCTCAACCTCCACCTCTCCGATAAGTGTGACAGATGCGGCGAAGGCCCTGAAACCACCGAACATGCCATCCTCCTCTGCCGAGTAAAGGCAACCCAACGCGCCCAACTTCTCCCAGGAATCAAAACCCTTGAAGAGATCTGGAACGACCGCACCAACTCACTAGCTCTAGGAGCTTTCATCACCACCACCAAAACGAACTTCCCCAGAAAGGAACATATCTCCCCCCTCTTGTCCGGATCCGAGATGTCAAGCACGCTCAGCTCCCCCCCCTCCACCACCTAGCCACCGCAAAACCCAACCCAAATCAGGGTACTCCGCACCCACAAAAGACCCTCAAGGGGCAACAGGTTATTTGAAACCAGCAGGAAGATTTCTTATGTCGGACATGGGCCGCCAAAGCGTCGGTTTTTCCTTGCAACCAACCAGTCAGATTGTTAATGTTTTGCTTCTTTTCATTGTTTTCCTTTGTTCATCTGGGGTTGTGGAATTTAGTTTCTAAGTCGGGGAGAGGTATTTTTATGCCATAGTCTAAGACTGCATGCAGAGTTTTGTACCTAGAATCAATTAAAACTACATGATATAAAAAAAAAAAAAAAAAAACCTCCTCAAAACTGAATTGCGGCAGGAATGCAGCAAAGTGGCTAGGAATAAGCCCTCTCATTGGCCTTGGAGTTCATCTTGCAGCCACGATTGTTCCACTTCCAGATACCGCCGTGTCACCTTTAAGAGTACCATACTACTGCAACGGCCCGCCCCGCTCGGCTCAGGCCCCGGGGTGCATCAAAAAGTCGATTGATTGGTTGAATGGCATCATCTGCACCAGAGGCTTTTTTTGTTTTTGTTTTTGTTTAATTCATTAATTGCATGCAGACCGTAGTCTATGGCAATATCACGACTCCAGAACTGCCCTGCTGACCTCTGGCCACACCCACTGCCTAACTAAAAAGAAAAGAAAGAAAAAAATAACAACCAAGCCAACCCGTCACACATTCTCTACTACAATTTGTATTTTATCTCTTTCTTCAAGCCCCATGAATCCGACCAAGTATTTTCCGTTGTACTTTGCTATCTCGTTTCTGTCTTCTGGCCTTAGTTCTTCCGCGTCAATAACACATATGTTGTTCTTCTTCACCGCCCTAATGCCGTATTCCGCGGCCGATTTCTCTCTTCCAACCAGTGTGTTTCCTCCACTATGGCGGAACCAAGTCCATCCTCTCAGCGTCATTATTGTCGTCTCGCTATAATCTCGCCGTTCGTTGTACCCATCTACCTCTCTCTTGTTTTCCTTGATCCGCCAGCATTCCTGGGCTGCGATGTGGATGTGCATGCAACCTGCCTTATCCGAGGGTGTTACGACCGGTATGGGAGTCTCAGTTGGGGTGTTTGTTCCAATTGTGGGGGGACCCGCCCTCTTTTTCAGGGCTTCAGGTGGTACTTCTGGCGTTTGTTTTGGTTCTGGTGTCGCTGTTGAGTCGATGGTGTTGGTGGTGTTGATGGTGGTGGTGGTGGTTGTGGTATCAGTGGTGGTGAGGGTATGGGTTTGAGTTCTTTTGGCTCTGGTAGTATGTCGTATTCCATGTCTGGCTGCGGTGTTGTTTTTGTTAACTTGGGTTGGAACAAGCTGTAGTAGCTGTCGTCCTCGTTCGTTTGTAGCTCTGTAACGTCTTCCATTTCGGTGTCTTCCTTGGTCGTAGTGGTGGGGGGTTTTTGTATATCTTCGTCTTGATTTGTTGGTCTGCTCTCTTCTGGTATCCTCGGGGGAGGGTACTGTAGTAGTTTTGACACTAGTTCCAGGACTTGACACATGAGTCCATGGTTCTTTTTTGCCAAGCTGCTGACGTTTCGCCGTAATCGTATAATCTCTTCGTCCTACTTGAGTTACAGGCCTGCAGTGGCAGCTATGAGTTTCTGGGTACTCATGGCTTCTTTCTCTCTTCATTTGGCTGACGTTTGTGCTCGTGGTTGTTGATATCTCATGGTTGACGCCGAAGAGATACTAGGGGGAGGATTCTGGCCGGCCGGAACCCTAAAGAGGGGTATCCTCGTGGTGTTGTGAAAAATATGTAGCGATCGCTGATTGGTCGCTTCGTCCAGCACGTCGGTTGTCGAGGTGAGAGTTTTTTGCTTCCATACAAGTAATTGTAATCTCTGAATATAGAGATGCATGGGGAAACACACTACGATGTCGTTATTCATCCAAAATGAATACAAAAGCCGTATTTGGTAAACACAGAGCTCCACCAACCATGGAAATGAATCATTCGATTCGTGTCCCACCAAGCTAATTTCGGGCAACGAATCAATTGATTCATTTCCCGAGGACGCTTGTGGGGGAGGCACAAAAGATTCGTTTCCATTGATGTCTTTTCTTGACGCCTTTCCTTGATGCTTTTCTTGATGCCTTTTCTTGATGCTTCTCTTGATGCCTTTTTCGCTGCCATTTTTGGTGCTCTTTCCGCTGCTGGACCGGGGAATGGAAATATATTCTCTCAGAGCCAATGTCATATTTCAAATGTGCAGCGCGTGATATATCAATCAGCGGGGTAGCTATAGGCGATAAGAGATGCCCCCAGGTTCAACCCCGACCCTTGTATTCTTTTTATTTGTTAATATAAAGTTATATAGTAATGTGTTTATTAAAGTAGCAAGTGGAACTTAAGATTCGTTTCCGGATTCGTTTCCCCATAGTAAAAAAGATTCATTTCCATGTTAAAGGATATTTCATCTCACAAACACATTCCCGATGGTTCATTTCACACTGAATCTTTACTTGCATAAATGATAGGTACCTATAGTTCTATGGGCTACCCAAATGCTGAATTCTTCCTGTGGGCCATGGCGGATGTCTTCAACGTGTTCCTTCTCCTAAAGAAAGCGAATATCCCATCGGGAATGCAGTTGACAATTATAAGGAGAAAAAGGCATCAGGGTGGATGTATGTAGCAGAGCCTTGGCGTTCCGATTATGGGGAATCTGATGAGTATGAGTCTCAGGATGAACTGTAAAATATAGATTAAAAATTCTTTTATTGTTCACCCTACTCTATACAACTATATTGTATTATTTGATATATTTCGATCGGTTTTTTTTTTCTTACTGCGGCCGTTTGCGCCATGGGGCGGCGCGGTGCCTCGCCGTTGCACTCCCCCCCCCCCCCCCGCGGGCGAAGTGGTCTCTGAAAGGGTCGTAGGTTGATGACATCTGCCCAACGCTATATAATACCCACCCCCCCCCCCCCGGATCCAGTCCGGAAAGCCAGCACCCCCCCCCTTCCACACTCACAAGGTACCTAATCAATCAAACACCCCCCGCGACAGGGCCCCACGCATCGTCACCCCCCTTGTGGCGCGCGCAGGTGTACTCTCATCCGCCCAGCTGCTGCCATCACTCTCCTCGCTCTCACCGGCATGGTTCCCCGCCAGCGGCGGCACAGGGGAGAAGAACCTACTCGCATAGCGAGCGGTCCCTGTCGGCGCCGAGGCACCGAAAACGGCAGGGGAAGTGGGGGCGCCGAACGCGCCCCCCGGCGACATGGGCGGCGTGCTCCCCGGTGTTCCCGCGAACGTGCTCGCCTGCGAGGCGGTGTCGCGGGTGGGGGCGCGGGCCGAGGTGCGGCCGCGGGTGCTCGAGCTCTGGGGCTTCTTGCGGCGGCCGCGGGCGTCGCGGTGGGGGTCGTATGCGGGGCGCGGGGAGGTGCCAGTGAAGAAGGCCCTCGTGGCGTTGGGGGTCACGGCCCTGCCGCTGGGGCCCGCCGCCGAGGCGCGGGGGCGGCCCGGCACGGCGGGCGGGGTGCTGTACTGCCGCCAGCCCATGTTCTTGACGATAGTGCGCATGCCGCCCTCGAGGAAGGTGTATAGCTGCTGCTGCTGCCTGCGGTCCTCCTCGCGCTGCTCCTCGTGGCGCTGGCGGGCCTCCTCGCGCTGCCTCTCGCCCTGGTCCATCCGCTCCGTGAGCCCTGTCATGACGTCCACCTGCCTGTTGAGCAGGCCAACCACCTCGGTGTGGCGCTGCCGGTTGCTCTCCTCGTCCCGGTCGCTCCTGCTCGACAGGTCGGCAAGGGATACGTAGACGCCGTCCAATGCAGCCTCGTGGGTCCTCTGGCCCTCCTCCACCCGTGATAGCCTCCGGAGGATGTGTGCCAGGTTGGGAGCAGGATTCTCCGCCAATGCCGGTGCCGATGGCGATGCTGATGCCTGCCCGGAAGGCTCCACGCGGTGGCACTGGACGAGGGGTTCCTGGGCCTCGTCGATGGTCAGGTCGATGACTATGCGGGTCGACGAGCCCTGGCTGGAGTCGATGTCCATGGGCGTGAAGGCGACACGGGACGGGGGCTGCGGCGTGGGGGACCCGGCCTTGACCTTTGGCTCGACACCGCGGTTGTTGGGGACTGGACGGGGGGCTTGGGCGGGGGCGGTGACGGGGACGGGGATGGGGGCGGGGGCGGGGGCGGGGACGCCCCTCTGTCTCTGCGATGGTGCCCTGCTGTACTCGGGTCTGCGGGTGGGCGCCATGTGTCTGTGGTGTTTGCTACTTGTGTGTTCAGCGTGGTCGGGACGGGCGGGCACTCCCCGTATATACGTGTGAAGTAGCACTGGTACAGTTCAGCTAGCTGGCAGTTCAGCCCTGCCTTGGCTGCCCGCCTGAAAGTGTTAGGCTGCCACCATCAATCATCCCATCCCCCGTGGGGCAATGCCGGCGCAGACTCGATGCAGGATGTAACATCACCTGTCGCTGCCCACCAATGAGAGAGTGGCTGGTCTGCTCGCCTCCTGCCCGTTGCGGACGTCCCAAAAATATCCACCGCCTCGCCGCAGCGTGTCCTAATTTGGGACTAGAGTATGCAGGTATGTACCGGGCGTTCAGCATAAGTCTGAAGAACTCGATCGGCCGGTTTTGCTTTAGAACGGAGGGTATTTATCTTATCAGATTCTTCAGACTTTAGGTGGGCACCCCGGTACCTACATAATTTAATTTATGCGCAGAACCTGATTCCGGGGCCTGTTCCTTGCTGTGAATAAAGCATCAAAGGGCCACTAGCTGGGACCTGTGCTGTGCTCTACACACATACATACTAGCTAGGCACACATCGATAGGTAGGTAGGTAGACCACCAGCCCTACGGCTCGAGATGAATCCAGAGAACGAACCCAGCCCCAGCACAGCCTACCGTTTAGAAGATCTCTATTCCCGAGCGATGGGAAGAAGCCAAACAACTACCCCCCGTACAAAAGCTATGTTTCCCATCTGGGAGCCCTCGCTTAATCCCGTCCCGACCCGCAGCGGGTAATGAGCTGGGCCGCGCGGGTAAGTAAGCCCTGGCACATGGGTATGGTTGGGGACACCCTGAAATACAATAGAAACGCTCATGAATAATAATGTGACAGGCGGCGATTTAGTTTAATCATTATGGTGGCAATGCTGTATCCCTAATTTACTTGGGGTGATTTGCGTGAGAGTTACAAGAAATGCCACTACAGAACCTTCCTCCATGTGGCCCTTCGTCTGTAATGGACACCTAACGCTAGTAAGTAGACTTCAGTCATATAGGAAGATTTTCTTGAAAACCCCCCTCAATTAGACCTAACCCAGATTCCGCGGGGCGTAAAGTAACGCTCGTCACCCCTCCTCTCGCGTTACATTCCCAACCACAGCTATTTCTCTGAACAGCACACCACAACATCAGCGCCAAGAGGTGGTGAATTTCGGGTACAGACGAAGGGATCGGGATAGATATATGCTTACTAATTGCGGTATATTACTGTATTAGGAAATCACGCGCCTAAGTCTCTACCATCCATTTCGATTTATCCGCCCCTGCCGATGACCCGCGTAAACCCCGCCCCCCTAGACTCTGCGGTAACATAGTCCAAGCCAGATGCATACGCCTCCAAAATTCCCACGCAATGAACGTAATACCTAGGAATGAGATGAGCCAAATTTGATGATTATGTTTTTTATAACGAGTTTTATTACCTACTAATTGATTAAGCTGTTGAAACCAAATCCAAAGCTAAAGGTGTAGTTCCGCGAAGCGCCTCAAAAGAGTATTGACAGTTGGCCGAGCACCACTACCTCTCGATAAAATTTAATTCAGAGTGAAATTCAGAATAGAATATTACCAATTGATTCAACGACCCCAGCCCTTCCTGCAGACGACATTTTGTGTTCACGTGCACCAAAATCACGTTCCGCCGACAAAACAGATCTAGCACATGCATCCACCATCAATTGGTATGCAACCAGGTCTATATATCATGTGTTGTCGAGCACTGCAGCAGGAAAGTAAAACAATCAGTCCCTCCTATTACCCCTGAATCCTCGCTCCAAAAAGAGCTTGTTGGAGTTGCTTTGGTTTTCCGCACAACTCCACAATTTGATTACTTTTGTGAGAACACCATAGATTGCGGTAAGCCTTTAGGGTACGGTGTCGGACAGCCAAAACCAGCCGGCCAGAGCAACCGCCGACTCCCCTTCACCCCATCGACTTTCAACAACGCAACACTTGTCCAAAAATAATGTTCTTTTGTAAAATGAGTCTAATCATGGTTGTAGACATACCCATAAAAGGAGATTTAAAATAATTAAGAACTGGCTGCACTATGACCTCTCAAACATTTGATGCAATCCGCCCGAAAAAAACATAGGTGTGAAATAATAACTTTAATAGCTTTATGCCAAGGCAGCCACATTAATTGGGATAATTCTTACCCTATTCGGATGATTCGATGATTATTATTACCTGATTGGGACTAGTTTCTGGCTTGAAAAGAACATGAGGGTTGATTTTGACTGTCTGGCGCTGTACCTGTACGGATGAGTAGTGTACGCACGGTTGTGCGTGCAACCCATAAAAACCCGCAATCCCTGCCCAGGACTCACCTCGTACAGATGCCTCCACCACCATGATCACCTCCACCAGTGCCTGCGGCAGCACCTCAACGCAGCACATCTGCTAGTAGTGAATCGAGCACCAAGTCGGCATCAAATCGAGTACCTGAAACACCTCCCCCGCCGTCTGTACCAAAATCAAGCATTAAATCCGCAGGTAATTGTGGGTATTTGGACCTCCGTCACCAGCAACCCCCCCCCTGTGTCGAGAATACAAGTGATATTATATGACTAATGATATGGATTACTATTAATTAGGGCGTTTTTTTTTTTTTGTTTAATTCATTAATTGTCGCCACTGCCTAACATAAAGAAAAGAAATGAAGTAACCCAATTTAACTAACAACTTTCTTTTGTGCTATCCTCATTCTCTCTCTCTCCCTTATCGCGTGATCTTCTATCTCTTCGTCTGTATAAAAAACAATATATACCAAATCCCTAACCCCCATAGTATCACCTCTTTGACCGAGCGGATTCTTCCCAGCACAGTCCTTTCTTATTGTCAAGTAGTCTTCTTTCTTCCACCATAATGACGCTGGTCTTTTTCCTTTCTCCAATATCGTGCATGTGATATGATCCTTCTCAAAGTGCTTAGTACTAGTATGGTTGTAATGGTGAATCAGCAAAAAACAGATTTCACCAGGACAAATCCGCGCGCCCAAATGTTCAAATTTGTCTCCCACGCTCAATACCTCGTCTATTGCACACAAAACCTCATCCCGCTCCCATCAAAATGTAACATGTTTTCTTTTGCCGACTAGTAAACATGCAAAATATGATAGATCATCTTTTACCACCTATTAGGCGTCTGAAATATTACCTCTCACCTTTCAACGCCTAGTAGGCATCCCAAATATGACACCTCACCTCTTCATGCCCTACTGCCTCCCAAAACATGACCCACTATGACGAATCTGCCGAAGTCCTATCGCTAGCCCTGATTTCGCTAGCGAATAACGTCAGGTTTGATATTTCGAGGATCCCTACCTACTTATCTATCTATTTAGCACTCCACCTGATGTATTCCTGTCTATCTGCCTACCTTCCTCTTTACACCTACCTCAATACCTACCTCCTACCTACATCGAGAGATACCTCCTACTTACTTTGACGCGTATCTTCTACCAACAGCAATGCCTACCTGCTACTAGCAGTGACACCTACCTCCTACCTGCAGCAATGCCTGGATAGGTATTTACCTACCTGTATTTTAATGCCTGTACTGATACCGATACAGATTGCTAAATAGCAACAAATCGATGCCCAAATCAACACCAGATTACATCAAATTGGCAGGAAATTGACACCCAAATTGACAACCAAAATGACATCAAAACGTCGACTAATTGCACCAAATCGATACCTAAATCAGCATCAAATCTACGCTCAAATTGACGATTGACGGTGCACGAAATCAACATTAATTAAACTCCTAATATGTAGGTAGATAAGCAAACAGATTTGGAGTTATCAAGTCAGTACGCAGACAGTCGGAAATGGAGATAGGGAAATTGGGAGACAGGAAGTATACACAGAGGTAGGTAGTAGATCGCTAGTAAATATCATGATTTGCATATAATTAGATAGTAGATAGATAAATGGATATATTTGGCAGTTGAATAGAAACCATGTCCTATGTTGTGTAACTGTTGCCGAGTAGTCATATACTGTCAGCAAAAACTACGAGCAAAACCTGTTAACTGGGCCGAACATACTAGTGTCGAGACGGTGTTGGACAGCATTTGGCGAACTTCTCTCTATACATGTCATTACGACATCATTGACAAAGTAATTCAAAGTTCTCGTGACAGAGCACCCACATATCAGTATTCAGTTGAGTAATTGCTTTGTAAAGTCTGAAGCGTCTGAGGTAGCTGCAGCGCCCAGGCGTCAGAAAATTAAACTTCATTTTTTGTTGATTTTGGCAGCGAGTGATTTCATATGATTCTGAATTGTCATTTTGTTTCGGGAAATGGTCAGTATTAAGTTATAATTCTGTAATATTTAAACTTGTATTATTGTAGGCCCGATTCCTTTACCTTGATTTTTGATGCTACGCTCAAGTCGAAACAGAATCCCAAATTTTGGATCCTATTCTATTACCCCCCTTCTAATACAAACTAGTAGCTTGAGTATGATTATTGAAAAATATAACCACTGAAAAATACCTCATCCTCAGATAGAAACCCTCCTTGTATAGTCTCTTATGCTTCCTCAAGCTTCATTCTAATTCTGACACCTATCCAACTCCGTGAACCTTGCAATTGCAAATCATTATGTTGTATTATAGTATTGTTTTAGTTAATAGACTCAGAAGAGACTGCAGCTACAAGCCGTACTTTCATTCTATTCCAGATGAGATATTTAGGAGTAAAAGTACCGTCATAAGAGCCTAATACTTGTGTGGTAGAACCGTACTACTGTAACGGACTCATTTTAACTGTTCAGTATATGATTACATATAGGGCCCAATTACATGCTGAGAGATATTGGTACAGGTGGAAGGCAGTTGAATAGTGACATGCAAGCACTAGCAGTATGGTTACCTACCAGGGGTAACAGCAACTAAATCCTGAACGTTAGGAAGTGGATCCATTCATTGGAGTAACGACTGATGAGTTAATGCTTTGCGAACGATTAGAAAGCCGACCAGAGTGAAGCTCTGAATGCTTGAAGATCCTCTAAATTCTGTAAGTATTGAAAGTTTGTCAGTAGTGGCAAGGAGCATGCCTGGGAAGTTTACAATAAGTGAGAGCTCTACAGCAATTGTTAAGCTTATACTTGAATGGCAGTTCATTCATGCAGGCCCTGTATGAGTGGCAACATAGGCTGCAGGTGTTACAAAGGTTTCGACTAAGGTTGGTTGCTTTTAGAATCAAAAGCATTCACTAACGCTTAAAGAGAAGCGAGGTAGCGATAGTATTGCTTCCCTTCCGCTAGGAGGCATCGTCGGAATTTAGTAAAGAAATAAGTGCAGAGAATTAAGTACACTAGAGTATAAGTACTCACGACCCTTCCAAAGCAACTATCTGATTTTTCTGGTCTTTAGAAAAGTTATCAAGTATTCTACTCGGTAGCAAAGTCCTTAAATATTATCGACTCCTAGCGATAGTATCTTTGAATAATCTGCAACCTGATTTCTATCTTGCACGGTCACATCTTTCTATTTGATTCTAGCAATACATAGAAAGACCATTGTCATTACAATCCCCACACACTACACAATACCTTTCTATACTTATCATTCCATTACTCGACCGTCCTCGCATCACCCCCCATCACTCATTTTCTACACTGTCCTTTGGTTTTAGAACTGTGTTCCGTGATTCCTGTAACACATTCCCTCAACAATTCTAACACATTTTTCTTCTTGGTTCTAACTTTTGTGTACCTAGGTCTACTATTCCCGACCGAGGTCAAGCCTGGGTAAAAGGCCTTGGGTTGGATCCTCACTTTTGCTTTAGCGGGTTGGGCTAGGTCCTCCGATATTTTGGACACGGGTGGACCCATTGCGAACCCTGCTATATAGGTCCCTACATCATTATAGTCCGATCGTTTTGATGTCTAGATTTGATATCCACCACCTAAAACCCAGGCCATGGCTTTAGGCGCTACACCAAGAGTGCCGCTTCTCATATGGTCACGAGTTGAAGGCAGATATATACATCCAAAGAGGCGGACCTCACCAGCGAGCTCGAACTGAGCGAGAGCTTAACTATAAGTTAGTGAATCCCCACCAGACAGCGTGCAGTACGACAGAGGAGCCTGCGAGAAAAGCACCGGGGCATCAACCTTCGCTTCCAGGGAGACGACAGGTTGGTTCGGCCCTACATGACCGGATGAGGAATATCTCCGGCGAAACACAAAGCTTTTGAGCAGTGACCAAAATATACCATCGCGTACCGCTCCACGCAAAATTTAATTTTGGTGACAACAAGTGCGGTACCGTTGGTATAAACCTCTAAGATATGCTTCACCGGGACTACCTATAAAAACCATTCCGGATTTGGCTCGATCACCCTTAACAGAGGAACGCCCACAAAGGCCTCAAACCGTTCCCTACAGCCATCCGGCTTTACATCCTGCCCATACTGCCCTAGAAAATACAACACATCCCTCCCTTCATCTGTCAGCCCAGCCCACCCCCCGCGCCCAACGCCATGATGAATACTCACGATGCGGCCGAAAAAACCACTGCCACTCCCTGGGAAACCCTGGAACCGCCAGATTCCGCTCACAGTGGATCGGCATGATATCGTAGTCGCTGCAGTCCGCCCCTGCGTTATGTCTGCGCGCCTCGTTATTATGAAAGCTATTCCGAGATTGGCGTTAGTGCTTGTTCAAAGCGGGGGTTTCGTCAAGGGAGTTCTATTTACGCCGCCGCCAGCCTCGTGCTCGCCGTTGGGGCGCCGGCTGCCTCGATCTCGATTACTCGTCTTCTGCGGCACATCACACGGTGGGTGGCCAGGTCCTTCCCTGGGATCTCGTACTGACAGATGCTCGATATCAGCTCCTTTTTGAAACCGCAGAACTTCTGGAATGCGTTCAACTCGTTTGCCAGTCCAAAGGCGCTACAGAGAAGATTTTCGGCAGCGAAGTCTAAATCCCATCAGCCAGGCCCGCAGCAGTTTGTGAGAGAGAGAGCGGGGGGGGGGGGGGGGTGGTGCAAACCGAGACGGGCGAGGTCGCCGAGCGTCGTGGGAAAGCCAAACACAGGTTTATTCCGAGCGTTGTGAAGCGGCGCAATAAATTCGCTGTGGTGCCGGAGTTCACTGTTGTAGCGGCGGGCGAGCTCGTTGTGTTCCCTTCAGTCCCTTCAGTAAGCTGCTCAAGCAGGGGAACCACGAGTGCTATGTATGTACTCTGCCGTCGAGGACTGGAGGAAGAAACTGTGTTCGTCCTCCAGTTCCATGAGATCTACCAAGTTGGTCTCAGCGGTGATCCCCGACCGTGCCTCTTCCCTCCCGGAATCCATCCTTGTCTTGATGAGGTCAAGATCAGCGCGAATGCTTGCGATGTCTAAGGTGATGTTCTTGAGCTGGCGTAGGACCTCGTCGTTGCTGTTTGTAGTGGGTTGTGGCGCCGCGTTCTGGGTGCTGGCACGGGCAAGCTCGGCAAGGAGGTTGGCGACATTGGCGGAGATGGCCTGGGTGTAGCTTGCAACCTTTTTGGCGTTGGTCCCTTGGGCGGACATGGCGGGTTGTGAGGCAGGGCGGGGCGGAGCGGGGGGGGGGGGGGCAATGGTTTAGTATGAGGTGCGGTGATTTGGGGGGAGGGGGTGGATGCTGTGCTGTGCTGCGGGGTTGCAAATTGGAAACGGTTGGAGTTGTGAATACATATCGATGGGCGATTGACTAAGCGGAACGTCGTACAAACATATTGGCCAATGAGGAAGAGGTTGCGCTCCGTACTATATACTCTAGCTCTGCATGATACGAGCCCTCCCACCAAATTTAAAAGACCATCATGTATACATACATATCCTTTCTTATATAAAGTCTCAAGACTTGGCAAACTTAATCAAGTGCGAAATATGCTCCTTGCGGCGTTATATTAACTATCTACACCTTCTCACAAATATCACATCGTTTGTCCATTCCTTACGAGGCTGCCAGAAATCACGTTACCTCACCTAACCCACCGCAATCCCGTTCCCGACCAGACCGCCTTCTCCAGCTCCCAACGCCAAGCCTAAAATATTCCCGCCTTCTGCCTTCTGCCCGTAATCCACCCCAACTACTACCCACAACCCAACCCTCTCCTCCCCAATTGAAGTAAGACGACCCCCACACCATGCACCGATCCACGCAATCACAATGAATTAAACAAAAAAAAAATTCCACGCAATCACAGCTCATCACTCGACCACCACGCACCGCACCCCCGCTTCCGCCCGCTCATCCCCTCTGCCCGCTCTCCATTCCATCAGTCTGACACTCGATTCCTATCTCAGATACCGGCCCCCGTTCAACTACACACATACCGGGTCCAATCATACACTCTCACTCGCTAGTCCAAGAGCCTTACATTTTCAAGAAAGATATAGGATATTAACTAGCACTATCATATCTCAATTACCTCCCTTCTTTATCCTCTTGATGTTCCTGAGTTCATCTTGCAACAGTAGTACACACGGCTAATTTGTTCCCCCCCGCTCTTCCAACCTACAGGGTTAGGGTTACAATCTAACGACCAAGGGATAATATCTATCGAGGCCGCCTATGCCAGGTAAACCAGTACAGTGTCAGGACGGTTTTGTGCATTTATAGCAAACATCTACCGGACTTCACACGATCGAAACTTCGCTTGGTAGTCACCACATAAGCGTACGAGCATTACCTTTTCACCTGCAGTAATTGTACAGCGTGGTCTCCTAGTAATACTTTGGGTGTCGGCAGTCATTAGGGACTGATGATGTTGCGGAGAACAGCTTGGGAGTGTGATTGATTCTCCAGTTAGAATACTCAGGTTTTGATCAATGGAGAGAGCTGCATATGCAGAGCCAAATACGCGCTGCACTGACTGTTGTAAGGGAGTAAGGTTCTGTTCCATATTGTTTCTCTTTGTCCGTCAGGTATGATGGCGATCGCGTTGTTGTTGTCCTGTTGGTTGCGACCGTGAACGCAGTTAATACTACTCAATTGACTATCAAAACCACTACTAGGACATTTATTTGTTTGAATCCCATTCCACTGGCACTATTTTCTCCTCAAACAATTTGTTTAACTTTTGCTCTGAAAACTCTCCCAAACGCTTCAAATTTCTCTCAATTTTCAGGTTTATTGCAAATTTAGCTGAAGCCCGCTTAGCTTTCTTTGGATTCCTAGATCTCCATCCTGCAGGACTAATTCTCTCTTGATATTTTTTTCCCTCCGCTTTTTGGCTCCCAGTTATCAGATATAGCAGATATTAGTAATAGATGTAGAGAGAGTACATATCCGAAGGCTTCTGATCCTTTATTTTCTTAAGTGCGTCATGAACTTCTTGATGTTTTGGATCTTTAGTAGCCAAATGGAGGAGATGTTGCCAAACAGCGATGTGGGAATCAGGCCGGTGACTGCAGTCTTTAAAACACGCTGGGCACTCCTGGAACTTTGTACTGTTGTCCCTCTATTTCTCATAAGGGTTTTGATTTTGAACTGGAAGTGGGACTGAGGATTTCAAAGGCTTCTTCCTGATTCTGCCTGTAGCTGTATAGACATTAGGGGTAGCCTGGGTATTTGGCTTTGGGGTCGGCATTGTGAGGTTGAGTTGAGATGAGTGAGTGAAAGTGAACATGATCCACATTATAAAGGGTAGTTAACGTGAACATGATTCACATACAAAAGTGGCGGACGCCAACATGATTCGCGACAACAGCACGACCACCAGCACCCCCAGCGCGACCACACCAAAACGGTTTTGGGGTGCTCGGCGCAGCCCTCTGCGCAGCCCTCGGCACATAAGCGGATGCAGGCGCTCAAAACCTTTACTTTCTCATTCTCGCCCTCATGGACAACTTACTTGCAGCATGCAAACGCACTCGATATCGGACGGCCACAGCAAAGCCTCTCTAGTACTGCATATACGCGAAAATCGCCAATATGCAGTCGACAGACCCAGCCCAGTGTGGGAAAGAATGAGTATTAGAAAATCCGTGCCCGGTAACAAGGTGGTATCTGACGATATATATAGATTTTGCAATAGCATATCAAATAAGTGTGTTCGGTACAATGAGATACAAATGAGTGTGTTCGGTAAAAGGACTGTGAGGAATACGAGTGACGGATTGTGTTGCAAGGATGGTCGGGTAACAGAAGGACAAGCATAGAAATGTATTGGGTAGTGTGGGTGCACGCGGTGCTACCACACTAGTTGTAACGGGGGTCTATGGGCGTAGGGACTATAGTGCCAAGGAATACAACCGAGGCAAGGACGTAGCAATAGGTATTCTTGGCTATGGACTATGGGATGGTTCTACCTGGTATGACAGACCAGTCGAACCCTATGAGGAGGCGTAGGACAAACGTAGTATTCGTGGAGTAAATACAAAGGTTCCGTGAAGAGAAAAGGAAAGGAAAGGAAACATGAAAAGGCACGAGGCAACGCCCCCTTATATATCCAACCCCTAGTCCATTGATGACTAATCCTCCGCGTAACGGAAACCGAAAGAACATAACAGAAACCCCATTACAAATCATAGTTCAACTGCGCAATGCTTCCTCTTCACGATCCAATCCATCATTCTAGCCGGAATATAATATTGCCGTTACAGACTACGCCCCCCTCTAAGGCCTACCTCCTGGTAGGCTTAGGCTTTCGTGGATAACGTTCGTGGAATCGTCGAATAATATCAGGTGAATGCTCAAGGTCCGATAGCGGTTGCCAGGAAGCATCGTCATACCCTCTATATCGTACCAAATACTCAAATCTTCCCCTTCGCTTCCTAGAGTCCAAAATATCCTCGACTTCCCATTCTTCTTCTCCTTCGATCTCAACCGGAGGTGGTGGTGACTGCTGTTGTCCAGGCAACGGATTGTCTACTGCAGGCGACAATAGTGAAACATGGAATACTGGATGGATCCTCATAGAACGGGGAAGTTCTAATTCATAGGCATAGGGGTTGATAATTCGCTTAATACTGTAAGGTCCAATACGTTTCCAATCGAATTTCTTGGAGGGTCGCTTTGTCAAAACATGGCGGGTCGATAAGAAAACTTTATCTCCTATATTATAACGAGGGGCGGGAGAACGATTCAGGTTGGCTGATTCTTCTTGGATCTTTTGCGCTCGGAACATTTCGCTTTTTAGTAACTCCACTATATCCTTCATTTCTCTTGCAATACTGTTGGCCTGATCTTCCGCCGTTGTTCTACCATGTTCCAAGGGCCCAAAAGTCATCCTGGGATTTCTTCCCGAGTTGGCGTAGAAAGGAGAGACCTTTGTTGTTTCCGAAGCATGATTATTTGTTGCAAACTCAGCCATTGCTAATAGTCGAGCCCAATCGTCCTGTTGATACGAGACATAACTTCGAAGATACTGTTCCATTACGGCATTGATCCTTTCAGTTTGTCCATCAGTTTGAGGGTGGAAGGCGGTGGAGAATCGTGGGGATATTTCCAGGCGTTTGCAAAGCGACTTCCAAAATTCTGCGACAAATTGTGTTCCTCTATCGGACACGACAGTATCAGGTAGTCCATGTAGCTTCCACACATTATCGATATACAGCCTCGCTACTTCTTTCGAATCCACCTCTTTAGTCGTTGGTATCAAATGTCGCATTTTAGTTAGTCTATCAACAACAACTAGGATCGCAGTATATCCATCACTCTCAGGGAGGTCAGTAACAAAATCCATCGAAATATCCGTCCACGGTCCATCAGGTATTGGCATTGGGCGAAGTATTCCATAAGGCGCATTGCGTGGTGCCTTGCTACGGGTACACACATTGCAATTCCGAACGTATCGATCGACATACTTCCGCATTTGTGGCCAATAATACTCTCGACTTAAGAGTTCCAATGTCTTTGCTCTACCCGGATGGCCTGCTGATAGTTTATCATGGTATTCTTGTAGGAGCCTCAGCCGGAGGTCATTATCATTTGGTACATAGAGTGCGCCTCGATAAAGTAGCCGACCATTACTGTCTTCCGTACATTCGGCAAGTGAAATTTTATTAGAACGGCGAACATCACTCCGAAGCATCGCGAGGATTTCGTTTGGGAAACTATCAACTTGGTAAGCTTTTGAAAATAACTCCTCCACAGTGGACATTCCTTCAGCGGATTCATTTGATAAAGAACCCGCGAACAAACTTAGCTTTGAATCCAAATTTTTTCTCTTCAGAACCACTTGGCTCTGATGCGTCAACCGTTCATCCCCCTCTTTAGGTAGGTCACCTGACCTTCTAGTCAATGCATCTGGTTTTGCTCCTTGTTTTCCCGGTCGAAATTGTATGACGAAATCGAAACGTGAAAGAAATTCAGACCAACGAGCTTGCCGGCGATTTAACAATTTTGTCGTCATGAAATATTCCAGGTTTCGGTGATCGCTGAGAACTTCAATAGGGAATTGTGCTCCCTCTAGATGATGTCGCCACTCTTCGAAACATCGTACAATTGCTAGAAGTTCCTTATCGTAGATTTCATAGTTACATTCCGCAGGGGAATGTTTCTTGGAAAAGAAAGCCACCGGATGTAAAACTCCCTCATCATC